CACCCCCGCGCTGCACTCGCCATGTTCCGAGCTAACTGTGCTAGTCACCACCCTGCCCACTTGTTCTGTCTGGGAAGGGGGCTGCTATCTAAGTCTCATGGACAAAGTGAGAAAAACTAGTGAATTAGTACATTTCTGACTATTCCAAAGGTTGCTGGAGTAGCCAACAGTCAGAAAATGGTGACTGACATGCAAGGAGGGCCTCAGAAGGATCCTACAGATGGCCGAGGTGCGGAGCGGGCTGGCCAAGCTCACGGCCTCCATTCCGATACTGGGTGGAGTCCCCTACTTGGGGGACATGTTCTCTACCCTAATTCGACATCAGCTTGTTGGGGGGGATGTCGGACGTCTCGGGCTGTAGTCGGAGAATGACCAGTAGGCCAAGGAGACTGAACCAGGCTGGGGGGACCGTACCCCACACCTAGAGGTCATAATTCCTGGGTGTGACTCTTCCTTCAGGTCACAGTCGGTGTTGAAACTGAAAGGGATATATATTATCAGCCCAGCGTGGTGAAAACACTGAAGGCGAAACAGTAACTAGCCCAGTGAGCATGGCTTTTATTGTTAAGCGACTTCCCGTGCTGAGATCTAGCCCCCTGCCCCCAGCATCGTCACCACCTCAGACATGCTCACCAATCACACTGCGGACACAGTTCTCTTTCTTGGCGATGTTCTGAAGCTGGCCTGTCAAAGACGCTGTGCTGTCACTGCTCAGAGCAGCGAGGCCCATATTCTTGAGACTTTGATGGATTTCCTGAGAAACCTGTTCACTCACAGTCACCATAGCCTCCTCGGGCCTAGACCGCAAGAGAGCAAGCTGGCACCCACTGGGTGGCCACCGCATGGGCCACTGTCCAGGAGGCTCCACACAAGGAGCCAGGCCCATGTGAGGGAAATCCCGGTCACCCTCCCCCACCCCGCTTCCGGCAGACAGCAGGGCCCAGTGGTAGGTACAGTGTGGTCACTGTCACCCTCAAGATACGGACTATTCTCGCTGTATCTGTGACGGTCTGCTTCTTAGGGAAGAAGCTACACTGTGAAACCAACTCTGGAGAAGCGTTTAGCTCTGTCCTCGGAGCCACCGTGCCTTGGCGGCCCCATGGACTTTATTTGTGCATACACGAGACTTTCTTGGACATTTTCCACGGTCATTTAGCCTACTCACCAATCAGGATGACAAGCTACCCGGTTCCTTCCTCCGTGGGTGTGTGGCCCTCCCCAGGGTGGACGTCCGATGGGTATGGCTGACTGAGCGCCCAGCTGCACTAAAACTATCAGCCCACGTCATCGCCACGTGCAGCAAACTGCCCTCCACACAACCCTTGTTATTTTCGGAGGCTTTTTTGCCATAGGGTACATGCACTCAGCAGAGAGAAACAGAGACGGTGAGAGAAGTGAGAAATCACTCCCTGCAGGGATGGCCACACTGCAATTCCTTCTCCTGCTCCTCCTGGGATCTCAGGCATGCATGCACAGGTGCCTTTTCAAGCCACCGAGTCCAGGACTCGATCTGTGATTGGCCATGTGGGAGTCACTGATGCAACCACTACGCCATCTGCTGGCCCCTAGAAGGAAGTTTTGTTTTTCTTTGTCTTAAGCCTCAAGAGCATTTACAGAAAGAAACCAGCGATCTTTGGACTCGGCTCCCAAACGCCTGAGGTTAGTGCTGGAGAATAAGCCTTCTCTCCCTACCCGCCTGAGTCTTAAATACCACGCCATCTTCCACTCCAACAGAGATCTATGCCGCTCACCTGGAGTCAAAGTCCTCCATCTGGGATTTGGCAATGCGTTTCAGTTTATCCACAAACTGGGGGGAGCCGAACAAAACACTGCCGGAGAAACTACTGGCCACTAGCAAGACCGAGGCCAGGACGGTTAACTGGCGCAGCTGCGTCTCCAGCTCCTGCAGCCGGGCTCTGTCCGTCAGCAGTGTCTGGGAACGGGAAGGCAGGCTGTCAGGACAGGGGGTCCTGATGGAAGCTCTGCATACAAGACCAGGCAACACCCCTCCACATTCCTACCTCCGGGAACTCCTCGTTTTCAGGGTCCCAGAGGAGGAGATTCAGGAAGCCCTGGATCAGCACCATGGTGGGGCTGAGGGGCTCTGGGACGTTGGCTGCCTCACTGGGTGAGGGACCGGGCACACCCGAGGAGTCAGGAGTGTCAGGGCAAGTCGAGGGTGGTGTGGTGAGGTCTGCCACTGCTTGGGTCAGCCATTTGGTGGTGTAGTCCAGGAGGCCTGCATGGGGAAGGGAGTACATGAGCATCTTCAGCGTCTTTACCCCTGACTTTGACACAATGGTTCTTCGTAAGGTATTCTCCAGTCAATAAACAAACGCCAAACGCCAGGAGGGTCTTTCTGTCCTAGATAAACATTCCTTCTCCCTCTCCTTTCCTGGGAAAGAAACTTCCTGTTCTTTTTAAAAAGAGGCAGATACTGGAACACCAGCACCCCAGCCACGCCCTCCCCGGGTGCCCCACGTCCGTACCGGGCTGCTTGCTGAGGAGCTCCTGGAACTGCGCCCGCTCGTGCTGGATGGAGTGCTCCTGCAGGTGGGGCTGAAGGCTCTGGATCGTGTAGTTCACCATGTCCATCTTCATGAGGCCCAGCACCTGGAGGATGCCTCTGACACGGGGAAGTAAGAACATGCACCGCGGAAAGAAATCTACTGAGCAGGAGACCTACGCAGTCAGCAGTCACGTATTCAAGAGCGGGGCGGGGCTTAAATGCGCCTCGTCCTGCCTCTTAGGTTTACAAAGGGTGGCATGTGGCTCAGGACCCAAGGCCCTGAGTGGCTCAGTGACAGGTGTAGGAACAGACAAGTGCCCGGATGTGGAAGTGTCTAGGCCTTCCTCACTGCGGTCCTTCTGTTGTCTCTTAAGGAGGAGGCACATGAGCATGTCAGTCATTCTCTCGGGGGACTGGGGTTACAGGGGCTGCTTTCCTAACTCATTCAGCTAAATGCCCTTTTCTTTTTTTTTAACTTTTAGGTCTCAGTTCCCATACCTGCGAAATAAAGGTAACCTCCTATCCCTGCCCCCTCAGAGCATATGAACTTAGAGAAAAGAAAATCCAGAATGGGCCCTGTCTGGCCATCTTTGGAAAAGAAAAGTCTAGAGGCCCAAGACGAGAAGAGGGGTCTTAGTTCTTTGGCAGGAAGAGCCAGTTAAGGCAGAGGGTATAACTCAGCGTCTGACCCAGCTTTTCTGGCTCAGGGGTGAGGCAGGTTTCAGGGGCAGTGGCAAAATTCCCACCTCAGTAACGGAACAGGGTCTGTAATGTCCTCTAGCTTCTGCACTGCTTCATCTCGAACTGGTGCACACAGCAGCGTCATCATGCTGAGGATGTACTTAGAGAGGTGAGGGACATCCAGGGCCCCGTGCTCTGCCTCCTGGCTGAGGAAGTTCATGTCGAGGGCTTCTTCGATCTCATTTCTTAGGCGGTTCTGGCGTGGCAATAGCAGCGATAGCAAGATCTGACCAGGAAAGAGTCAGACACCTAGTCTACATCGTTTTTTTTTTGGAGAGGTTTTTGCTATAGGGCACATGTGCTCTCCAGAGAGATAGAGAGACAGAAAGCAGGAAATCACCCCCCAGGGGGTTGGTCACGCTGCAATCCCTTCTCCTCTCGGGATCTTGGGCACGCACGCACACACACCTGGCATGAATTTTAAGTCACCGGGTCCGGGACTCAAACCGCAGTCGACCACATGGGAGTCCAGCGACATAGCCATTACACTAACTGCTGGTCCCCCCTTTTATTCTTTTTTTAAAAGAATTATGTATTTAATTCCATTTATTATTGTTATTTTTCAATTTGACCAGAGAGGGACAGAGAGAGCGAGCAAGAGAAAGGGAGAAAGCAAGCCACCAGGTCCGGGACTCAAACCGCAGTCAGCCATGTGGGAGTCCAGTGCCCTTAGCCACCATACCATCTGCTGGCCCCTCTAGCCTACATCTTAAAAGGATCAATAAGTTGGGTGCCTAAATTTCCTATAAAATACTTTCTTTTGTTTAGGGACCAAAAATAATTCAAGGCTTAAGAGGTCAATTACAGCAACAGTATGTCATTTTCAAGGTAGAATGAGAAAAAGAGATGAATAAAATCAAGAAGGTATGGCAAAAAGAAGGGCGGAGCACAGCACGTAGAAGATGCAACCATCGCGTGTGATGAGGCACTCTTCACTTGAAAAGAGAGTTTTGAGATTATTTTTACTTTAAGGAGCAAGGATAAAATAGGCAAAGGAGCTATTAAAATAGTTATTTGATTAAAAAATTAGTTATTTGAGGGGCCAGCAGGTAGCACAGTGGTTAAGGCTTTGGATTCCCACACAGCTAACTGCAGTTCGAGTCCCAGCCCTGGTAGCTTAAAAATCGTGCCGTAAGCATGCACATTCGAAATCCCGAGACGAGAATGGAGAAGAAGAGACTGCAGAGTGGCCATCCCCCCGGGGTTGGGGGTGATTTCTCACTTTCCCTCTCTCTTTCTCTAGGGAATGCATGAGCCCTATGGCAAAACTTTAAAAGAAATAAATAAATAAAGACTCTCTTATTCATCTCCTTGCCTCTGTAACACAGAATATGGTGGGGCGGGAGATGACAGCTCAGTAGCTATTTAATTGAGTGAAATTTGTTTAATCTGCTTGCATGTTGTCATAGCAAGATAACTGTTAGCGTTCCATAAAACGAAAGTTGCTTCATACTATTTTAAGTTGCTATTTATCTTTTAAGAAACAGCTTCTGGCTTACTAAGGGGCCCTGGTAGAAAATAAACACATCCCCACAGGATACCGGGTGACCGTGTGGCCTGAGCTTCCCAGAAGGAACTAGGTGATGTCTAGGGATGGCCACACTGCAATTCCTTCTCCTGCTCCTCCTGGGATCTCAGGCATGCATGCACAGGTGCCTTTTCAAGCCACCGAGTCCAGGACTCGATCTGTGATTGGCCATGTGGGAGTCACTGATGCAACCACTACGCCATCTGCTGGCCCCTAGAAGGAAGTTTTGTTTTTCTTTGTCTTAAGCCTCAAGAGCATTTACAGAAAGAAACCAGCGATCTTTGGACTCGGCTCCCAAACGCCTGAGGTTAGTGCTGGAGAATAAGCCTTCTCTCCCTACCCGCCTGAGTCTTAAATACCACGCCATCTTCCACTCCAACAGAGATCTATGCCGCTCACCTGGAGTCAAAGTCCTCCATCTGGGATTTGGCAATGCGTTTCAGTTTATCCACAAACTGGGGGGAGCCGAACAAAACACTGCCGGAGAAACTACTGGCCACTAGCAAGACCGAGGCCAGGACGGTTAACTGGCGCAGCTGCGTCTCCAGCTCCTGCAGCCGGGCTCTGTCCGTCAGCAGTGTCTGGGAACGGGAAGGCAGGCTGTCAGGACAGGGGGTCCTGATGGAAGCTCTGCATACAAGACCAGGCAACACCCCTCCACATTCCTACCTCCGGGAACTCCTCGTTTTCAGGGTCCCAGAGGAGGAGATTCAGGAAGCCCTGGATCAGCACCATGGTGGGGCTGAGGGGCTCTGGGACGTTGGCTGCCTCACTGGGTGAGGGACCGGGCACACCCGAGGAGTCAGGAGTGTCAGGGCAAGTCGAGGGTGGTGTGGTGAGGTCTGCCACTGCTTGGGTCAGCCATTTGGTGGTGTAGTCCAGGAGGCCTGCATGGGGAAGGGAGTACATGAGCATCTTCAGCGTCTTTACCCCTGACTTTGACACAATGGTTCTTCGTAAGGTATTCTCCAGTCAATAAACAAACGCCAAACGCCAGGAGGGTCTTTCTGTCCTAGATAAACATTCCTTCTCCCTCTCCTTTCCTGGGAAAGAAACTTCCTGTTCTTTTTAAAAAGAGGCAGATACTGGAACACCAGCACCCCAGCCACGCCCTCCCCGGGTGCCCCACGTCCGTACCGGGCTGCTTGCTGAGGAGCTCCTGGAACTGCGCCCGCTCGTGCTGGATGGAGTGCTCCTGCAGGTGGGGCTGAAGGCTCTGGATCGTGTAGTTCACCATGTCCATCTTCATGAGGCCCAGCACCTGGAGGATGCCTCTGACACGGGGAAGTAAGAACATGCACCGCGGAAAGAAATCTACTGAGCAGGAGACCTACGCAGTCAGCAGTCACGTATTCAAGAGCGGGGCGGGGCTTAAATGCGCCTCGTCCTGCCTCTTAGGTTTACAAAGGGTGGCATGTGGCTCAGGACCCAAGGCCCTGAGTGGCTCAGTGACAGGTGTAGGAACAGACAAGTGCCCGGATGTGGAAGTGTCTAGGCCTTCCTCACTGCGGTCCTTCTGTTGTCTCTTAAGGAGGAGGCACATGAGCATGTCAGTCATTCTCTCGGGGGACTGGGGTTACAGGGGCTGCTTTCCTAACTCATTCAGCTAAATGCCCTTTTCTTTTTTTTTAACTTTTAGGTCTCAGTTCCCATACCTGCGAAATAAAGGTAACCTCCTATCCCTGCCCCCTCAGAGCATATGAACTTAGAGAAAAGAAAATCCAGAATGGGCCCTGTCTGGCCATCTTTGGAAAAGAAAAGTCTAGAGGCCCAAGACGAGAAGAGGGGTCTTAGTTCTTTGGCAGGAAGAGCCAGTTAAGGCAGAGGGTATAACTCAGCGTCTGACCCAGCTTTTCTGGCTCAGGGGTGAGGCAGGTTTCAGGGGCAGTGGCAAAATTCCCACCTCAGTAACGGAACAGGGTCTGTAATGTCCTCTAGCTTCTGCACTGCTTCATCTCGAACTGGTGCACACAGCAGCGTCATCATGCTGAGGATGTACTTAGAGAGGTGAGGGACATCCAGGGCCCCGTGCTCTGCCTCCTGGCTGAGGAAGTTCATGTCGAGGGCTTCTTCGATCTCATTTCTTAGGCGGTTCTGGCGTGGCAATAGCAGCGATAGCAAGATCTGACCAGGAAAGAGTCAGACACCTAGTCTACATCGTTTTTTTTTTGGAGAGGTTTTTGCTATAGGGCACATGTGCTCTCCAGAGAGATAGAGAGACAGAAAGCAGGAAATCACCCCCCAGGGGGTTGGTCACGCTGCAATCCCTTCTCCTCTCGGGATCTTGGGCACGCACGCACACACACCTGGCATGAATTTTAAGTCACCGGGTCCGGGACTCAAACCGCAGTCGACCACATGGGAGTCCAGCGACATAGCCATTACACTAACTGCTGGTCCCCCCTTTTATTCTTTTTTTAAAAGAATTATGTATTTAATTCCATTTATTATTGTTATTTTTCAATTTGACCAGAGAGGGACAGAGAGAGCGAGCAAGAGAAAGGGAGAAAGCAAGCCACCAGGTCCGGGACTCAAACCGCAGTCAGCCATGTGGGAGTCCAGTGCCCTTAGCCACCATACCATCTGCTGGCCCCTCTAGCCTACATCTTAAAAGGATCAATAAGTTGGGTGCCTAAATTTCCTATAAAATACTTTCTTTTGTTTAGGGACCAAAAATAATTCAAGGCTTAAGAGGTCAATTACAGCAACAGTATGTCATTTTCAAGGTAGAATGAGAAAAAGAGATGAATAAAATCAAGAAGGTATGGCAAAAAGAAGGGCGGAGCACAGCACGTAGAAGATGCAACCATCGCGTGTGATGAGGCACTCTTCACTTGAAAAGAGAGTTTTGAGATTATTTTTACTTTAAGGAGCAAGGATAAAATAGGCAAAGGAGCTATTAAAATAGTTATTTGATTAAAAAATTAGTTATTTGAGGGGCCAGCAGGTAGCACAGTGGTTAAGGCTTTGGATTCCCACACAGCTAACTGCAGTTCGAGTCCCAGCCCTGGTAGCTTAAAAATCGTGCCGTAAGCATGCACATTCGAAATCCCGAGACGAGAATGGAGAAGAAGAGACTGCAGAGTGGCCATCCCCCCGGGGTTGGGGGTGATTTCTCACTTTCCCTCTCTCTTTCTCTAGGGAATGCATGAGCCCTATGGCAAAACTTTAAAAGAAATAAATAAATAAAGACTCTCTTATTCATCTCCTTGCCTCTGTAACACAGAATATGGTGGGGCGGGAGATGACAGCTCAGTAGCTATTTAATTGAGTGAAATTTGTTTAATCTGCTTGCATGTTGTCATAGCAAGATAACTGTTAGCGTTCCATAAAACGAAAGTTGCTTCATACTATTTTAAGTTGCTATTTATCTTTTGAGAAACAGCTTCTGGCTTACTAAGGGGCCCTGGTAGAAAATAAACACATCCCCACAGGATACCGGGTGACCGTGTGGCCTGAGCTTCCCAGAAGGAACTAGGTGATGTCTAAGTCAGTCACAAGATTAGACACGCCCAGCAGTAACCAGTCATGAAAGGAGATGGCCGCTAAGAGACCATACAGTGGTGTAAGGACAGACAAAGACCAACGGGATAGAGAGCCTAGTGGGGGCGGGGGAGAGCCTGGGTTTATGGTCACATGGTTCCTAACAACGATGCCGACATCATTCACTAGAGAAAGGGCAGGCTTTCAACAAAGGGTGCTGGGAAAACTAGAGTTCTATATATGAGAGACCAAAGAAGATTTTTACCTGAATCCGTATTAGAAAAAATACATTCAAAATGGACCAAAACATAAGCATTAAAACTAGAAAACTCTTGGAAGAATACATAGGGATAAATATTCATAATCTTGAATTTCGCAAGATATAACACAAAAAGCCCAAGAACCAAAGGAAAACTACATAAATCAAACTTCATCAAGATTAAAACCTTAGGTTAGTAGTTGAAGGAGCCGGAGTCTACATGGCTGATCATGGTTCAAGTCCCAGTCTCGGTGGCTTGAAAAACACACCAGGCATGTGTGTACATATGCCAAAAATACCAACAGGATGCAGAAATGGAGAGGGGACTGCCGTATCACCACGCCCCACTGGGAGGTGCTTTCTCTCTCTTCTGGATGTGGATTTGTCTTCCCTCTCTGCAATGCTTGTCAGCACGGACATCCATCTACCTCACAGACTACTTCAGCCACTGTCCTGGGTCCTGGCGTGCCCATGGGTGTCTGATGAAGGGACTTCACCACCGCTAAGGAAGTGCAGCAATAGCTTCATACCCACAGAATCAGCTGGTCTGGCCCCGCCACTGTGGCACAGTAGTAATGCCAAGTGCCCAGCAAGGCTGGAAGCCATATGGATGACTGTGGGTTTGGATCCCTGGGTGGGCTTGAAAACACACTATGCACTCACATGGGCACCCAAGATCCTGAGGAGCTGGACGCCTGGGAAAAGGACATAACGGCCTGATGAACCCTGTCAAGGGTGCTGCTTCCTCTCTCAGACATATACATACATACATAAAAACTAACTGATCTGACCAAATACCCCTTATTGAGAATCAACTGGTCTAAGCGAAAAGTGGCTTACTGAAGACTCAGGTACAGCATTGTTGAGAAACAATACCTGAAAGGAAGGGGTTCTGTCTTACAAAATGCAATATATGCTTGAATCAAAGACCATTCTGTGGTGCTGTCTCCCAAAGCCAGATTACACGAGCCGATAAGCCAAGGGGTGGAGCAGGACGAGTTCTCACTGGTACACCTAATAACTCACTTGCAGAAATTTTGTTTCCCGTCCTGCCAACTTTGAGCTCTCCTGATTTGGGGGTAGTCCTTGCATTGGTTCCAGTGAATTAGAAGATGAAACCGCCACCTGGCCCATCTGGACTCCTTACACTACTGAACCAACCAGCTGGATCAGCTGATATGAATCCCAGGAAGAAACCCAATTGCTGCTACACAGTGCAAGGACGAGGCCTGGAAACCAGGAGGTCCTCTAAAGTGTCTCTTAGTGCTTCCAAGTCCAACAGCAACTAACGAAGCCATCACAAACAAACAAGGCAAAACGTTTGAAGATGCAAATTCTCTGGGCATGAACGTCTGGGTCATTCCAACTCCAGCCAGGGGAGGCTCCAGCTAAGGATAAGGGAACAGGATGAGCAGTGGAGGGAGGAAGCCACAGTCCGCTCTAGCCTTGTGTCCGGTCACAGAGACAAGGGCTGTACATGTTCCCTTTGCTCGTTATAGGCATGTTAATTTGCCCAAGCTAACCTCTGTCCTTCTTCCTTGCCCTTAGTACTTTATATACAGGTTGTTGGACGTTAACTTTACAATTTAGCTTTCAGGTAACAGAATATTCAGTGGGACTGTGACCGCATTTGAGCAGCTGCCTGTGATGGGTAAGGAAACTCTCTGGACCACGTGTCCCTCATTTTGGGCAAGGATGAGAACTTGTGAGACGGATGGCTGCGTATTATTGGGTAGAAATAGGGTTCTTTTCAGGAATTGAATGTGTGTAGAGGGTGCGTATGGAAGCTGAATAGCCAGAGGGGACCGTGGGCGTCTTCCAGTATTGCCTCCAAGTTCCAGTCATTCTTTTCTCTTCCCTGGGAAGATGGAGCCAAGTGCTTTCAGTACCTGTCCTTTACCAGATGGCTCGATTTCAAGCTTCATCAGTAGAGGGTGTTAGTACTTCGTTTTCTATGCTGTATAGTAAACCGGCATAAATGTAGTGGCTCGAAACAACACACTTAGTATCCCACTGTTCTGTGGGTTAAGAGTCTACACGCAGCTCAGCCAGGTCCTCTGCTCAAGGTCTCACAAGGCTACAGTCAGTGGCTGGGCTGCATTCTCATTCGGAAGTTTGACTGGGGAAGGCTGTTTCCAAGCTCATTCAGACTGCTTGCAGAATCCATTTCCTTACCGCTGTGTGCTTTCAGGCCCCAACTTCCTACAAACTGTGGGATGCTCCCAGGTCCTAGGCCACCTACGGTGCCCTGCCTTGTGGCCTCTTCACAGGCAGGTCACGGGGACTCTCTCCCTCCAGTCTGCTGAGATGGAGCCTCACATAGTGAAAGGCAACCACGAGAGGCATAGCCCGTCACCTTCGCCGTTCTGCAGGTTAGAAGTCAGCTGCAGACCTCGTCCACACTCAAAGGGACAAGGTTACAAAGGGTGCAGATAATTAAGGGTCACCTTAAGGTGTATCTCCCACAAATTAAAGGCACCACAAAAGGCAAGAGCATTTCTTCCAGTTCTGCTATGTGAGCTTGGTGGGCCTGAGGTGCATGGCAACACCAGCCCTGCAGCACGATGGCTTCTTCAGTGCATGGCTCCTGCCAGGCAGTGGTCAGCGGCACACATAGGCCAGCGGCTCTCCTGGCACAGCAGTGGCCTCCCCAGCAAAGTCCCTGATGTCACACATCAGCCACAGGGGTATGCAGACCCTGCCACCCCATCTGGGATTCTTCTGGGTTCTCTTTACTTCTTACTAGCCAAGCCTTTATTTCTTCAGTTCCTTGTTATAACATTTTTATATTAAATCTTCCTCGTTCAAATTACTGTGCACTTCTCATCTGCTGACTAGACTCTGACTGATTCGTGGCCATGTTCAGTTAGGATCTGCTGGCCACCGACACTCCAGGGAGCTAGGAATGTCTAAGAACTTCACATTTACAAATGGAAGGTCACTCACTCACCTCTTTAATTTCCTTGAGAAGTTCGAGAGCACAGCTGAAGTCAGGGGGCGTGGCCGCTAGCTGCTCTTTAAGATGGTCCCAGAAAGCATTGTGCATCGTCTCCTTGCCCTTGCTCTCCAGGCTGGAAGAGAGGTACAGGATCACGAGCCCGAGCCCCACACAGCGTTTAGAACGGTGCGCCACCACTGTTCTGACGGGCACGGACAGGAGCTGCGTGCACTGCAGAAAGGAACAGGCTAGGGTGAGACCTGGGTTTCAAGGGCATCGGCCAAACCTCTCAGAAGGCCTCTTGTGGTTTCAGAATAGTCTTCCTTCTGTAGTAGGAAGAACCCTGAGTCAAGGGAGTTGAGCAAAACTGTGCATCTGTTGGCTTGTTGGAACAGTCATGACACATTTTTGCATATTTACTGTCAGAAAATTCATGGCATATTTTTTGTTTTTCTATGCCAAAATGTGTGGGACCAGTAGTTAGCGTAATGGCTATGTAGCTGGACTCCCATGTAGTCAACCACGGTTCAAGTCCCAGACCCGGTCGGTAGCTTAAACTCACGCTGGATGTGTGTACGTGCGTGCCCAAGATCCCGAGAGGAGAATGGAGGAGAAGGGACTGTGGCAAGGCCATTCCCCCGGGGGGTGTGATTTCTCATTCTGTCTTTCTGGCGAGCACATGAGCCCTATAGCAAAAAAAAAAACCCCTCCAACAACAAAAAAAAATGTGTCGTGACTTTTTTTTTTTTTAAGAATTATTTCATTTAACTTTATTTATTTTAATTTGACCAGGGAGAGACAGAGTTAGCGAGAGAGAGAATGAGAAAGCCAGCCCCCAGGTCCGGGACTCGGACTGCAGTCAGCCATGTGGGGGTCCAGCGTCCTTAACCACCATGCCACCTGCCGGCCACGACTGTCATGACTTTTCTGACAACCCAATTGCTGAGATGTATGACTTAAGTTTCACATATATGTCTGTATGTATGATGTGTGTGTGTAAGCGCACATATGTATATGTATATATATGATGTTTAAATGATTTTTCAATTTATTTTATTTTTGTAAGTGAACTTTTATTGGAAAATTGTCAACTTCAACAGCAGCAAGCAAGAGCAGGTAAGGAAACTCGCTGTTGTCACAGACACATGACCTCCATAATATAAGATATAAAACGTATTTCGGTGTGTGACCTCCAGCCCAGAAATGTCAAGTGCTTTTCCATTCACTCTAACACTTCTGGGTTCCAACTGAAAACGTTAAGAACATGAAAAAGATGCTTACTGAAAGGAACCCCTCAAAGCAGAGTAAGGGAGAGCATGTGGAAATTAAGATGTTATGGGGGAGCTGCAGGTGGCACGGTGCTGGACTTCTATGTTCCTATGTGGCTGACCATATCTGAGATTGTGCATCGTCTCCTTGCCCTTGCTCTCCAGGCTGGAAGAGAGGTACAGGATCACGAGCCCGAGCCCCACACAGCGTTTAGAACGGTGCGCCACCACTGTTCTGACGGGCACGGACAGGAGCTGCGTGCACTGCAGAAAGGAACAGGCTAGGGTGAGACCTGGGTTTCAAGGGCATCGGCCAAACCTCTCAGAAGGCCTCTTGTGGTTTCAGAATAGTCTTCCTTCTGTAGTAGGAAGAACCCTGAGTCAAGGGAGTTGAGCAAAACTGTGCATCTGTTGGCTTGTTGGAACAGTCATGACACATTTTTGCATATTTACTGTCAGAAAATTCATGGCATATTTTTTGTTTTTCTATGCCAAAATGTGTGGGACCAGTAGTTAGCGTAATGGCTATGTAGCTGGACTCCCATGTAGTCAACCACGGTTCAAGTCCCAGACCCGGTCGGTAGCTTAAACTCACGCTGGATGTGTGTACGTGCGTGCCCAAGATCCCGAGAGGAGAATGGAGGAGAAGGGACTGTGGCAAGGCCATTCCCCCGGGGGGTGTGATTTCTCATTCTGTCTTTCTGGCGAGCACATGAGCCCTATAGCAAAAAAAAAAACCTCTCCAACAACAACAAAAACTGTGTCATGACTTTTTTTTTTTTTAAGAATTATTTCATTTAACTTTATTTATTTTAATTTGACCAGGGAGAGACAGAGTTAGCGAGAGAGAGAATGAGAAAGCCAGCCCCCAGGTCCGGGACTCGGACTGCAGTCAGCCATGTGGGGGTCCAGCGTCCTTAACCACCATGCCACCTGCCGGCCACGACTGTCATGACTTTTCTGACAACCCAATTGCTGAGATGTATGACTTAAGTTTCACATATATGTCTGTATGTATGATGTGTGTGTGTAAGCGCACATATGTATATGTATATATATGATGTTTAAATGATTTTTCAATTTATTTTATTTTTGTAAGTGAACTTTTATTGGAAAATTGTCAACTTCAACAGCAGCAAGCAAGAGCAGGTAAGGAAACTCGCTGTTGTCACAGACACATGACCTCCATAATATAAGATATAAAACGTATTTCGGTGTGTGACCTCCAGCCCAGAAATGTCAAGTGCTTTTCCATTCACTCTAACACTTCTGGGTTCCAACTGAAAACGTTAAGAACATGAAAAAGATGCTTACTGAAAGGAACCCCTCAAAGCAGAGTAAGGGAGAGCATGTGGAAATTAAGATGTTATGGGGGAGCTGCAGGTGGCACGGTGCTGGACTTCTATGTTCCTATGTGGCTGACCATATCTGAGTCCCAGACCTAGCAGCTTAAAAACCACACCAGACATGTGTGTGTACTGCCCAAAATCCCAAGGGGACAATGGAGAAGAAAGGACTGTCCTGTGGCCATCCCCCCCCCCCCAAGGGAGGTTGCTCACTTTCCCTCTCTCTGTCTCATGAAGGACTCTGAACCAGAAGGAAGTCTTTGAGACAAGATCTGAAAAACACCCTATTTGTTTCACCACTTCCGCTTTGGTTTAGACAGTGGTGAGATACCGTTCGCTTGACCTTCTGATACCAATAGCTACAACTTCCTACTCTACTCGAGTGGTTGAGACCTCGCACGTTCAAATACTGATGTGTATGACTAACTAGAAACGCTCAGTCTGCTCAGAAGTCCTCAGCTCTAAGTACCTATCCTAGGGTGAGTACAATGAAGTGGAAGCGCCCATACCTGCTTGGAGGGAAAATCTTCTCTTTCCTGCGTAAATCATGATTCATCCCAGTCTCGGTGCTCAGCTTGGAAACCTCATTCATCGTCTCTGTCAGACCTGGGACACAGAGGACTTATGGTGGACAACAACGAAACTAGACAAGTCTGCACTTGTGTTTCAGTCAAGGGTCCACCCAACCCAGCCAGCCTGGAATTGACATTCTCCGCACTGATCTTCCAAGGACTCACCGAGGCCTCCTATTTTCTGAGCTCTACGCCCCAACAGAGCTGGAAACGGAGTAGTCCAGCATGGGAACAGGGAGAACAAAGAAGCAAATTTATAAAAAAGAGAAAACAGAAACATTGAAAAAACTTTTCTCTTAGGGCCAGTAGGTGATGTGGTGGTTAAGGTACTGGACTCCCACATGGCGGACCATGGTTCGAGGCCTAGACCTGGCAGCTTGCTTTCTCACTTTTTCTCTCTCTCTGGTCAAATTAAAAAATAATAATAATACTAAATAAAATTAATTAATTCCTTAAAAAATAACTGAAAACAGAGCCAGCAGGTGGCATGCCCAAAATCCCAAGAGAAAAATAGAGAAGGGAGGGTGGAGTGGTCACCCTCTCTGGGGTTTATTTCTCATTTTCCCTCTCTGTCTCTCTCCAGAAAGTGCACTCACCCTGTAGTGAAGGGAAAAAAAAAAAAAGGAAAATCAAGGGCCAGCAGGGTATGGAGGTCAAGGTGTCTAGCTCCCACGTGGCTGACTACACAATTTGAACCCCAGACCCATGGGCTTGAAAACATGCCAGGCACCTATTTGTGTCCAAAATCCCAAGAAGAGAAAATAAAATCAAAATTAAAGCAGGACCAGCAGTTGGCGTAATGGCTATGTCACTGGACTCCCATGTAGTCGACCGCGGTTTGAGTCCCGGACTCGGTGACTTAAACTAATGCTGGGCACGTGTGCGTGCGTGCCCAAGATCCCTAGAGGAGAATGGAGGAGAAGGGATTGCAGCGTGGCCATCCCCCCTGGGGGTGATTTGTCGCTTTCTGTCTCTACAGCAAGCACATGCACCCTATAGCAAAAATCCCTCTTTAAATAAATAAATAAATATTGCACCAGGCACATGTGCAATCAGGATCCTAACAGGGTGCAGAACTGGAAAAAGGACTGTGGCATCGCCAGCCTGTGTGGGGTGTTCTCTCTGTCTCTCACGTGTGCACACCGTCTAGAAATAAGTAAGTGAATGTTTACCTAAGAGTACTAAGAATTCACTTTCTTCTTCCTGCCTCTGATGCTCTACCTAAGCTAAATTCTCCCTACAGATGATATTCTGAGTATTATTCCTGAGAGGCCTATTAAGTCCCTAACATAAAGAAGAAGTGGACCTTAAAGGAATGGTTGGCATTCCCGTTATTTCTGCAACCTCTTCGAAGTCTACTTCCAGCCCAAATGGCAAAACACAGTCGAATATGTAAACAGACTTATTGCTAATTCACTAATGCTAAATAAGAACTAAGAGAAAATCTTCAAAGGGAGGTTGAGGCAACTCTTGTACACAGGCACACTTTCCAAATCCAACAAATCAAGAGTTCATAGCCTGCCTTGTCAAGACTGTCCTGTTGCTCAAAAGTAATACAGCACTAAGCAACTCTAGAACATTCTGGAAAGAATCAAAGAGATAAAAAATTAAATTATATTTTAAAAATCCACATTGCAGGGCTAGCAGGTAGAGCGGTAGTTAAGGTGCTAGACTCCCACATGGCCAAGTTCAAGTCCCAGACCCAGGAGCTTGAAAATCACTCCGGGTGGGGCCGGCAGGTGGTGTAGTACTTATAGAGCTAAAATCCTGCATGGCTGACCCCAGTTCGAGTCCCAGACCTGGCGACTTGAAAATCGCTGGGTGCATGTATGTGTGCATGCCCAAAATCTCAGAATGGAGGAAAAGGGATTGCGGAGTGGCTATCCCCCCTGGAAGGTTGATTTCTCACTTTCTTTCTCACTGTCTGGCGAGTGCACATACCCCATGGCAAAAGCTTTAAAAAGCTGGCTTAGGTGGCAACCGGCATGGTGGCTAAGGTCTGGACTCCCACATGGCCAACTGTGGTTTCAATCCAGGCCCTGGCAGCTTGCTTGCTTTCTTTCCCTTTCTCTCTCTAGTCAAATTTTAAAATAGTAAAAAATAAATAAGTCTTTAAAAGAAATAAAGAAAATCACTCCAGGCACATGTGTATGCATGCCCAAAACCCCAAGAGAAGAATGCAGAAGGGACTGCCAGGTTGCGGTCCTCCCTGTGGGGTGGTTTCTCTCTCTCTCTCTGTCTCTCTCGCACGAGTGCACATGCCTTATGGCAAAAACCTTAAAAAAAAAAAAAAAAAAAACAGGGACCAGCAGTTGGCATAATGGCCATGTCGCTGGACTCCCAAGTAGTCGACCGCGGTTCGAGTCCCAGACCCGGTGGCTTAAATTCACGCCGGGCGCGTGTGCGTGCGTGCCCAAGATCCCGAGAGGAGAATGGAGGAGAAGGGATTACGGCGTGACCATCCCCCCTGGGGGGTGATTTCTCGCTTTCTGTCTCTCGGTCTCTGTCTGTCTGGCGAGTGCACGCACCCTGTAGCAAAAACCTCTCCAAAAAAAGAAAAAAATAATAACTAAAAAAAAAAAAAATCAAAGTTTCAAGGACAAAGATATTTTCAAAATAGCAATACTAACCAAGTCAAACTACATACAATCTTTTTTTTATTTTAAGAAACTTGCTTATTCATTTTATACAGTAATTTACCTGTGGGTTCCTTTAAACAGCCTCTTCTGCAGCTTAAACGGTGTTTACAAAAGAGAGGGCTTTGACCCGCCTTGGCTTCACACTTACCAAACCCTAGACGCCCCTTTGGTGCCTTCTGTAAACCAGCAGCGACTCCATGTGGCCATAGGGGACACCAATCTAGCAGGCCCTTGAATGAATTTTTCAACATTTCCATCCCGGAGAATTCTAGCTCAGGCTGTTGCATGGGGACAGCCCTTTAGACTGCTGGCCGGTTGGATTCTCTGCTGGTTATCATCAGAGAGAGGCAGCCTTACGCCGGGTTAAAAGCCGCAGGGAGTCGCGGGCCTGAGTCCGCAAAGCCCCGAGAACACACTGACCCGCGTCTGAGGTCACTGGCGTTCTCTAAATTCAACCCCAAAGAGCTGCCGTTTCCACTCATGCATTCAAATAAAGCCGAGCGATGGCTCGGAGCGGACTCGGCCTGAGATCTTAGCAGATGTAAGGCATCGCACCTGGGTCGCTTTTCTGTCCAGGACTAAGACCTCTCTGAAGACCTCTGGTCAGCAGCGGGCCTGCGAGTAAAGACGAGGATTTGAACGGGATACGTTAAGGAGCAGACAACGGCGGCAGGGAGCGAGGAGAGGGTTACCGGCGTGGAGCCCCGTCCTGGTGGCCCCGGACCTACGTGGAGAGGGGTCCTTGGGGGCGCCGTGGCGTTCCTGGGACGGTCCCGATGTCTCGGGCGGGCAGGTCCCGCTCTCTGCATCGCCAGGGTCCTTCGGGGGCGCGCTGTCCTGGACATCCGGCATGTTGCCGATGGTACCTGCGTTGGGGGAAACGGCGCCCTGCTGGCGACAAGGACAGACGCT